GGTGGGTGGGTGGGTGGGTGGAATGGCAGATGGACAGGGCAAACTCCTGGCACTGCAGCTTCAGTGTTATCCTACGTTAAGAAGACCCCCCCACACACACACCCCCACATTTCTAACCCTTGTTTACCACAGTGCCAGCCAGATCTGTAGGTTTGATTAAGACATCCACGATTAAGAGTCTCTGTGCGTTGAGAGAGTCTGCAAACCGCTCGTCTGAGAGGCAGTTTTGCTGTAATTAAATAACAAAAGCAGCTCTTCCTACGCAAATCTGCATATTTGTAATTTAAAAGAAATAACACCTTTATTTAAATTTTCCAATTAAAGCTTAGACTTGAAAGGCAAACTGCTGACCCATCTTAATTACACCAATTGACACAAAGTGTCAACTTTTAGTCATTTCTAAACATCAGAGAGCTGTTTTTATTGCCTCTGTTAGGGAGAAAAAAGCGGGTCAGAACAGCAGACAGTTCAGTCTTGCTTAACAGTAATCTGAAAATGCCTGTAATCCTCCATACAGAGCCCTTCTGGAGGTTGTGGGTATCGCTTTGAGAGGTGTAACCTCATCTCAGTTTAGCAGCCATGTGTCTGACCAAGGTTGACACGCAACCAGAGCCTTACAGCTGCCAGGATGCACACGGAGACATGAGGCACAGTAAATCTCCTCGGTCACTCACTGGAATGTTAGGCCAACGTTTAATATAATAATACCTGGTGCCCGATATGATGCAGAGTGGGTTCAGTTTACTGAGATATTTACTTCCTGCCATGGTGGAAGGTGCAATTTCCTTAGTCTATGTGTGTGTTTGTTACTTTGTTAGCAAAATATCACAATTCTCAGAGTCTGCAACTGATTAACTGCTTAAGTCTATCCTGTTCAAGGCGCTTGGAGTGAACTGTAATTCTAAAAATCTTTATTATTCAGAAATAATTATTTGTAGATAATTTAATTTGTAGTCTCTGGCTGATTTTTTTAAAATCTTGATTTACATAGAAAATGAAGTGGCCCTTTGAGGAAAACATTTGTTACCCTGTAGTTACTT